ACCAAACCACCACCACCACCACCAAACCACCACTACCACCACAACCACAAACCACCACCACACCACCACACCACCAAACCACCACCACCACCACCACCACCACCACCACCACCACCACCACCACCACCACCACCACCACCACCACCACCACCACCACCACCACCACCACCCACCACCACAATCACCACCACTACAACAAACCACCACACCACCACCACCACAACCACCACCACCACCACCACAATTCACCGCCACCACCACCACCGTCGTCCTCGTCGACGCTCCCTGCCGCCGCCGCCCGCCGCCGCAGGCGCCGGCGCCGGCCCAGAAAAAAAAATCGTCGTCCCCGCCGCCGCAAGCCGCCGCCGACGCAGGCGCCTGCCCGAGGAGAGGGAGAGAGAAAAAGTAGGGGAGGAAATGGGGTGGTGGTGGTTCGAACCCCCCTCCCCTTTTCCGTCACGGGAGGGGGGGGGGGTTCGAACCCCCCCCCGCCCATCCCGGGGGGGGGGGGTCCGGTTCCAACACCCCCCCCCGCTCCAACACAGAACGCACTTTTTCATACATATATATATATATATATACACATGTGTATATAAGTGTGTATGTGCGTGAGCGTGTGTGTGTGTGTGTATGTGTGTGTGTGTGTGTGCGAGGCTTAGTGCTCGCGAAGGTGTATCCACACCGCCGCTGGAAGAAACATGTGTGGGTGTGTCCCGTGGTATGTCCCGCGGTCATTCCGTGCGTGCGATTGTCCAATGGTGTTCTCGCAACTATCCAGTGGAAACGCTCTGGCACTATCCTGTGCCATTGTCCCGTGGTTGTTTCGAGCTCGTCCCGTGTTGTTCCGATGGTTGTGCTGTGGAAGTCCTGCGGATACCCCGTGGTTAGCCTTTGGTGGTCCCCCAGCTGTCCCGCGTTTGCATGTGAGTATTCATATAGACGCGTACCATGACAGCACCCTCGTGTGATAAGGAAGTTTTGGGTGGATGAGTGCAACTTGCTTGCGTTTGGTTTCGCGTCAAACTGGCAACACAATCTTTCTGGGTGTATACATGTGTACATTTGTACATATACTTATGTATGAATCGATTTGCTGTTACATTTTCATCTACATACTTTGTTTATGCATGGTATGTATATGTACATGCATGTTTGTCAAATGGTTCCAGCACCGCGAACTCGTCTGATCTCTTCGAGCTTTCCGCGCCCTCCTGAATCTCCTGACCCTTCCCTCTCTGCTGACTCGCGTGACACTTGCAAGTCTGACAACTCTTCTGGGCTTCCCAACTCGTTGCTTCCTCCAGGTCTTCTGGAACTTCTCGCCTTCTCTTTTTGACTGCGGCTTTCCCGCAAGACAGCCGCGGTGCAACCCTTAGTGCCCAGGGCGGGCATGGGACAACCACGGGACACCACAGGACAACGGCGGGTCAGCCTGGGGGCAAACGCGGCGAGGACGGAACCCCAGGGAACAGTCTGACAAGGGATGCGCTTGACAAGGGCAGAATCTCCCACGCCTTTCTCTTTGCACTGCCCACGTGCGCGACACGATCCGAAACGGTGGCCCATTGCCTGCTGTGGGCCATTCCGATTCCCTGCGGTCTCGCCCGACATACGTACGTGCCAGGCCACAATTCGAATGATAAGGATGTTGTTCTGGCTGCTTTAACCGCTCTGCCTATTTCTAACCCGCCGCATAACTCTTATATGAGTTACACCCCTGTCTGTTCTCACCCCACCAGCCCTCTGGGCGGAAGTGGTTTAGCGAGCTTCGTCTTCCCATCCCCCTTCTTCCCCTTCGGGGAGGGGTGTATCACTGTTCGTGTTGCTGAATGCCCCCTCTTGTAGGCGTCTGACACCCAACCCAGATCATTGACCACACCCCCCGCCATCCACGTCAACACAAACATTTGCAACATACGCTTTGGGGCAACAACTTGGGTTATGTTCGTGGGCCCCGCGAACACTTCGTATGTGTTTTGACACGGACGGCGGGGCCCCCTCGTATTGCCTGCTGTGCGCAGGGCCTCCATCCCTGTCAAGACAACACTACAACGTACACTTCGCGGCTAAATCTGGATCGTGCGCGGCCCTCGCGATCACTGTTCATAGGTTTTCGACACGGACGGCGGCAATTCTGACATGTTGTCTGCTGTGTGCATGCTCGCAAGACACCATGATTGCCTCCCCGTCGCGATTGCGATTGGTTTTCGACACATATGGTGGGGGCCAACATGTTTCCTGATGTGTGCCGTCACGTGCGCGGGTGCACCAGGCACGCTCTGCGCGTGCCCCGAACATTGCGCACCTGGCACGGCGGGGGCATGCGACACACTTTGCGCACGTGGAGCACGTGGCGCATCTGGCGCGCTTGGCGCGCCAGGCGTGCCTGACACGCTTGGGCCCCAAGGGTGCCCGTCGCACCTGGCGCGCATGTCGCCCGGCACGCGTGGCGCACCTCGCCCCGGCGTCGCGCACATTGGGTCTTTTTTGGATCACAATGGCTGTCCATCCGAAAACGACAACTGATAAGGCTGAGGCTCGGGTGCTACTTATGCGTTGGGAGGGCGGCTGGGAGTGAACGAAACAACTTGCGGACGGGGAGGGTGTCTTGACCTCTCCTCCTACCCGCTCCCGTGGTCTGGACAGGGGGTCGCGGGTCTTTGGAGTGTCCAAGATGGCCCAAGAAGGCTCCGAGCGGACCTCAAAGAGACAACGATGGACTCCCCAAATAAAGCTAAATCGTTCAATATGGCTTCCGAGAGGCTCCAAGACTGCCTGATAAAGCCTGCAAGAGGCCACAAAGCCTCATGAGGAAGCCGTCGGGACGCCCAAGTTCTGCAGCAAAAGCCTTGGACAATCAAAGAACCGTGCCTTCTCACCCTTTCGCTTCTGATGGCCCTCCGAGGCTCCCAGATGGCTCCACGAGGGCCCAAGAGATCCACAAGGGCCCAAACGAGCCGCAAGACTGATCCAAGAGCGCCCAAGAGCGCTCCACCGGGGGTCCAAGAGGCGGCGTGAGGAGCTTTTGCAGGGCAGCGCTACTTGGGGACCACCATCCATCTTTGATCGAGCTCCTCCAGGTTGGGCGCGCCAGGATGACTGGTGCAGCGCGCCCGGCGGGGCGCATGACCCCTCACTTCCTCTTCATTTCCTGCGAATCCTTCCCAATGTTGTAGCCAGATTGAAGCTCTTCCATCGCTGTCGCGCTGCCGGGCGACAGCATGCCACGAACGCCACCCGTGTGAATGTGCATATCTCTTGAATTCGTCCTCCCATCTGAACCACCGTGTCCAGCGCGGCCGGACGCCGCAGGCATGCGGGTAACGTCTCCATCTCCGTCTTCCACCAGTCAGAATCACGCCATGTTGCTGCTCTTTATGCGAGTCGTTCCGCTTGCAGTCGTAGGACGTGCCCAGCCCAAAGCCATTTGGCTTTGAGGTGACTGTCCAGCCAGAACCTGAAGCCTGCCTTGTCTGCATGTTATCGCGCGGCCCGAGTGGAACGCTTAATCCAATCGACCCGTGGTTCGTTTGGTCGCCGACCTGGGTCGGCGATTTTTCTCAGCAGCCTATTATGCGTGCTCTCCAGATGACGTTTCTCCTTGACAGTACGGGGCCGAGACTCGCAACGCCGCGAAGCTGTCTGCGTGACGCTAGCAAAGACCTTAGACTTCTTGTCAAGCTGTCCATCTCTCTTTCCAAGCAACGGCCGCAATCTGTAAAACTATGCCCATGCGGCTCCGATGCGCGACCGCAGCCCCTGCGGAGGTCCTGCCATTGCGTGTCCACTGTGTGCCCGGGACCTTGAACCCTTCGCTTGCCGTCGCCATTGGAATTGACTACCCATCGACTTCTACCGGCCGGACCTGGGCATCCGCGCAAGACGTTTGAACAGGGCACTTGTCCATGTTGAGGTTCAGGCCATGTTGCGCCAGAGCTGGCGTCGTCTGCGAACGTGGCGCGGGCGGGCCCCCCTGCGAAACTGCCGCAAACAATCTTTCCAAGGCCATCGCGTGACCACATCCCCTTCGACATCTGGAACGCTTGTCTCGCGCGCGCTGGTGAATGGAATTGGCGACGCGGGGTCTCCGCGCCGCGCCCCGCGCAATGTGTCCAAAAGCCTGCTCCTGGTTGCGCCGTCGAGGTGCACGCGTGCCTTCTGTTGCCCATGTAGCCTGGACAGGAAGCAAACAACATCAGACTCAACGCCTGCCTCCTCCAGGGCATGAGGACAGGGCCGCGGCGTACCTTGTCGAAGGCTTCCACGAGGCCCAGACTTGCAGCCCAAACTTCTTCGCCCCATTCCTCGGCCTTCTCGGGAACCATTCGCACGAGCATGACTACGTCGCTGCAACTGTTCCCCGGCCGACCCCCCCCCGCCGAAGCCCCGCGCCCTGCGAGCGCCGAGCCGACGCGTGAGAGCCACATACCACTGAAAACGTTTGCTGAGGACGGATATCATTGCAATGCGTCTGTGATTATTAGGCGGCGTTGCCTCGCCTTTTCTGCGCATCGCGATCCGCCGATTCACCGCCCAGGTTGCAGGCGCATCGGCCGTCCCATGCAGAATATGTAAACACTCGTGCAACTAGGGATAGCAAGCCTTCGTGATTTGCCTTGAGCATCTTTGAATCTTTGAATACAGGCCATCGTCGCCACATGTTTTCCCAGAACGCAATTTGTTCAAGGCTGCTGTAAATTATGCTTGCTGCGCGGCTTATTGCCTGCCACACTCGCGGCAAACATAATCCTTCGTTGCCGCGCCATGCAAAGTCGCATCAAGCCTTGCAAATACCATTAATAAATCGTTGCTATCCGTACACCGTATACCACTAAGTCAGTGACTGCAGTTATGCGTTTTCGCTTGATCGGAGAACGGAGCAACTTGGTTAGCTCCCGTTGGCCTCTGCCGGCATTCAAAATCTCGTCAAGTCCCGCAGGCCTCTTCTCATCTTCCTGCTCGCGCAAATGCTTCCACATGGATTTGGTCAACAATTTGCGTTATTCTGCGTCCGTGGCGGCACGTCTTGCGGCCGCGAGCTCCTGGGGCTTTGTGCGTTGTAGCGGGGCTGGACACTCGGATTCGCTGTCCACGCCTGCGCTGCAGGCCTGGGCGGCAGCGACCGCGCTTTCAACAAGTGATTCGGCATCATCGGGCGGATTGGCAACAACTGCATCAAGTTTGTCATGGGAGGCTTCTGCGTCCAAATTCTTTTCATTGCCAGTTCCCCCTCTGCCCCTCCTCTTGCGAGTGGCCCGCGCCTTGGTGGACGTGTTCGCATAAACGCAGCGGTGGTCCGATTTGTAATCGGCGCTGTCGTCAGCCCCGGAATCTGCGAGCATCCCGCGTAGAAAAATGTCGACCAACATGTAATCACTCGGTCGACGCCTCCCCGCGCTCCATATTTGATGCGTCCATTGTAATTCCGGCCGCTTTTTGAAACTTGTATTACACGCTGAAAACACCACCCCACTTTCACTTTTGTCTGGCGAATCATTTTCCAATGAACCTCGGCAAATCATTCGCAATTTGTTTGCCATAGCCAAATCACTGCGTTGGCGTCGATGCCTAAAACTGCGTGGCGCCCAAGCTTGCGCGCCGCATTGACGATGTCTTCGAGGCAGGCCAGGGCAGCATCATACTCAATGTCTGACCAGTCTCCATGAGGAAGATGATTGCTTAGAAAGCGCATGCGGATTCCGTGCGTGATCACATCAACAAATGCAGTTCGTCTATCAGCAATGAAACACTTGGGGTGGCATGAAGTACCTGCCGACCTCCCGTGCACTTGCATTGCGACGGTTCGAGGGCGAGCGCCGCGTGAAGCAACGAACCACGAATGACCGCCTTCCGATTCAACTAACTCTTCGCTCTCCCGTTTCGGCCCCTCTTGCACTAATACTGCATCCCATTCAGTTTCCTGTGCAATCAACAACGCTGACATGCAACCCAAAGATTCCTCTTGCCTACCAACTGCATTCCAAAAACGAATCTGGACTCTCTTGTCTGCCTCGTCGCCCTTGCCCCGTGCGTCGACGAGAGCCGGAGACTCGACCAAAATGCCAAACTTCGGCTTCACCACTCCGGCCCTGCGCAGAACTTCGACCGGCGCGTCTCCCTCCACCCCTGCATGCTTCCCTCTACCCCCCCTCCTGATACTGCATTGTCGTTGTCATTCCCCGCCGATCCACTTTTGACCGTGCGCGGGGCCTTCCTCGAACTGGCACTGCTTCTCGGGGCCGCGCGGCCCCTGCCGGCTGAAGGGCTCGCGAAGAACAGATTTCCACTCGGCATCCGGCCCAAGCAGCTCCATCTCTCCGCTCTTCCACTGCGCAATCCGCTTCTCATTGAACCACGCCGCGCCCTTCCTGTAGTTCGTTTCCATGCGTTTCTTCACGTCCTCCCAATTGCCGCCGTTGGTCTCGATGACGGCGCGGGCGACCTTCCGCGCTGCCTTCTCTCTCTTGCTGTCCTCGGACTCCGGGTCCTTATGCGAGTCTGCGTTGCAATGCACCTTGCTGCCTTTATACTTGTGCACATGATTCCCGGCATGACTCCTCATGTACTCCCACATGGCGTCTGCCGATTGAATCTGGCCCGTCCTCTCTCCGCAAACTTTTTCCCGAACGCGAACGCATCCTCCAAATATCCCTTTCGTTGCCTCATTCAATATGCCATTCATGAGCTTGACGATATCGTCAGCCCTCGTGTCCTCCGGGAACGTCCCAAACGTCACGGTGCGCGAAGATCTCTCTGCCTTCTTGTCGTCGGCCCCGGTCCTGGCTCGAGAAGGTGCCCCTGGTGCTGGAGAACTCCTCCAAGATGGCTCCAAGACGGTCCAAAGTGGCTAAAGATTGTCTTTTTTCTACTCTCCCCAGGGCCCCCAGCGGATTCCGCCGCAGGGCCCGCGCCGCCCCCCAGCGGCATGAAATCATGCCTGCACGGCCTGTATCAGCTTGTCCAAGAGCAGGTCCCCGTAGTGCTCATCGTCCACGTAGCACTGGCAGGACTGGCTCACGCGGCAGCTGTTTCCCCGTCTGGGGATGCTTCCCAGAGAGGATGCGGTCCCGCTTCTTCCTTTTTGCGTCGTCCTTTGACGACTTGCCCTTCTGCTCCAAGGGCCCTGGGCACGCTGCCCCCAGCCCCGCTCTCCTTATTGCCGAGTGGGCCCCGCGCGCTACGCACGCCACGTATGGCCCGTGTACTTCCACTCGGTGATCGCGCAAAGTGGGTCGATCTCCGCCTTCGCGACGCCCGCGCCATTGCGCCCCTGCTGCCACAGCCCCCGCAGCCGCGAGCGCAACACATGCCTCGAGTGACCCCGAAGCCCCCGTCTGTCGCTTGCCCGAGGATCTCCATGGGGGCGGCTCGGACACCGACTCCCGCAACTTCTTCCTCATGCGCTTCGAGGCCGCTCTCTTCCCGCACTTGACGCACACGAGCCATTTGCCTTCGTTGACGACATCGTGGTTGGTCAACGCTAGTTTCTGCTTGGCGATCCTTCTCTGCGGCATTCCAGGCTCACGCTTGGGGACGTCAGGCCACTCGCCATTCATCTTCTGATGCCACCATCCGACGTTTTGCACCGCCCAGCGCACCTTCGCGCCCAGCTCCTCCAGCGCCTGCTGCTTGCCGAAGTTCGCATCCAGCTCAGCCCCTGCCTTCGCAGGCAGGTCAACCTCGCCGTTGCCCTTCGCGACCTTGAGCTCGTCTTCCTGCAGCTGCGCTATCTTAGTCTTGGACCTGTGCGCCTTTACGTGGAAAGCCGTGCTCACGTCTAAGTCCGCGTCCTTAACCTTGTGCCAGATCCTGCGCCACAAGTCTGCATGCGGCCTCTTCCAGTCTATGCGCCACCGCTCGCCCTTCTTCAGGCCGTCGATGATGCCCTTATGGTCCGTGTAGATTCTGAAGGGCGGCAGGGCGTTCTCCAGCGCCTTCAGGAAAGCCCACATTTCCGCTTGCTTCACCTTCCTCTGGACTTGGAGGGTGCACGGCCGCGGGCCCCACAGCTGCACCTTCGGCTTCCCGTCGTCGTTGATCGACATCGCTGCCCAGCCCGTCTGCGCCCACTCGGTGTAGCCCAGCTTGGACCCGTCGCGCACGATGTCGCCCGTGAATACGTCATCGTCGCCTTCGAGCACTCCCCCTTGGTACTGATCCTCGCCGACCCCGACGAATCGCCAGTCCGCCTCAGGGCTCCTTGCCCGCCCCCGCGTCCAGAGTAGACTATCCTCCTGCTGCTCTGCCACATGCTGCCATTCCTCCTGTGCCTCGAGCCTCTGCTGCCTCAGAGCCTCGCACTTGTGCAACCTGTGGTGCGGTGTGCCCACCGCGCTCCCGCATCCCAGGCAGATGTCCGTCGGCGCGATGTTGCACTCGCAGAGCTTGCTTCGTCCAACTGCCACCGATGAATGCATTCTTCACCGCGTTCTTCGCGTGCTTGGGGAAGCCCTTTGTCTTGAACTGCGACGCCGCGGGCACAATGTACGGCGCCGGCCTGAGACTGCTGCGCCCGGGCGCCTCCGCCCATTCTTCCCAAAGCTTGGTCTGGATGTCTCTGCGCATCATCGCCGCAACATCCATGAGGCACACGTCCTTCAGGTTCAGGACATGCCCCTCTTTCGTTCGCATGGTGTGCCAGGCTGGCCACGTCCAATCCGCCCTCTTCAGTGACATAAGGGCTGCTCCTGCTGGCCCTCGAACTCTCGCCCCAGTAGGCCGCGTGCCCACCTCTTGTTGCTGCCACCTCCAGGCCTTCATCAGCATGTCCGCCGTGTCATCCCAGCGTGCTGCAGTGTCGGACTGTGCAGCACGTGGCGACTCTGAACCTGAGCATAGCTCAGGATTTGGTTCTGGCCGTCCAGCAAGTGGCGACGCTGAACCTGCGCTGAGCGCAGGACTTGGTTCTGACCGTCAAGCAAGCGGCGACGTCGAACCTGAGCCTTGCCCAAGGTTTTGCACCTGGCCTTCCGTGTAAATACTCAGCTTCTGCTCTGCATGCCAGACTGAACGCGCCCACTGTACTATGGGCGCCTCCGCGACCTCAAAGGTGGGCTCCTCCTGCGCAACCGCCAGCTGCAGCGTGAGACTCTTAGCCCTTAGCTCCTCGTCCTCCTGGCAGCGCACGCCCTGCTTCACGTCGTAGTAGCCGCAACTGCTGGTCTGGCATGCCCAAGCACTTGCACCCGTGCATCACCGACCTCTTCAGCCCGCATTTGTAGACCAAGGTGGTTCCTCTCTGCATCTTGCGCCCTCCGCCTTTCAGGTTGACGAGCCTCTTCGTCCGCGATAGCATGCCGCTGAAGCGCTTCTTGCTCTTCGACTTGGCCGCCGACCCGTTAGCGATAAGGTCCACCCCCAAATTTGGACGCGCTCTCACCGCTGGCAAACCACGTTCCTGCATCTCCTTGGCCGCTGCCTTCCGCACCCACTTCGTGCTTGCCAGAACTGCTCCCTTCCCAGCTGCTCCCACCGAGAACTTGAGGCCCAGCATGTCGAAACCCTCGAAGCACGCGCCCCAGGTCTCCGTGAACTCCTCCACTATGTTCTGCTGCTGCCTTCTGAGCCTGACGCGCAAGTCGCCCACGTGCATCCTCCATTTGGCGATCGGCCTCTCGACCACCAAACCGTCAAGGGTCGACTGGATGGCCATCTTGAAGAAGCTGACCGAGAACTTGCTGCCCGCAGTGATGGTTGCCACCGTGCTCGTTTCGCTCGACACCGATTCCGCCACTACGAGCCTTCTCGCCATGGCAAAATACGAGCACACCACGGCCAGCACCCCCGTGTGGAACTTGAGCTGCTCGCCAGCCTCCCAAAGCACAGAGAGACTAACCCGCTCGAACGCCTTGGCCAAATCGAGAATGGCCGTGGTCGTCGCCTCCGTGTGCTCGTCTTGCACATCTGGGTCGTCCATCTCATGGCTGAGCAGGACATCCCAAGCTGCATCCTCCGCTGCCTTGCCGAAACTCGCACAGTCCCATGACCTCTGGTTCTCCTCCGCCCAGCGCTTCATATACGGCTCCCGCATGATCTCCCATATCCTGATGGCGGTTGGCAGCAACCCTATCACCCTGTCCGTGGTGAACGTCTTGGGGATCATGGAAAAACACCACTGCTCCCATGTGTATTGGCCAAACCAGCGTCTTCACCGCCTCTCGTAGGATGGCCGACAGCGTCTCGCATGCCCCGTCCGACACCCCCTGCAGAAGCGATGGGTGCCATCTGTCAGCGCCCACTCCCGTCTTCTTTCGGAATGTCCGCGCTAAGCCTTTCAGCTTAACCACATCCTCGTCCGTGAAATCGTCCAGCTGCTCCCTGGCCTCGATCTCCCACGGGTTCTCCTTCTGCTGCATCGGGTCGCCCGTGCGCCACGCTGCCTTCCACTCATTCAGCGCAAACTCCGCCGCTTCCAAGGGGTCCGCTGACTTTGTCATCGTGTCTGCGCGCCTCGGTCGCCAAACCGTCGCCGGTTTGCTCAGCTCGCGCAGGCCCCCTGCCGAGCCCGCCGCCGCCGCCTCGAGCATATCTGCCCACTTTGCTTGCCTTTCCCTGGTGAGCTGCTGGTCCGTCTCCTTTGACTTGGTGGCCGCCTCCTGGTGCAGCTCCTGCAACTTGTCTTTCTGCGCGCTACTTCGCCAGTGACCGCGCGCCAGCAACTCGCGCCGCGCCTGCCGCGCGCCCTGCTCCCCCGTGGAGATGTGCCTCGTGCGGTTGCCCTTTATCTTGAACAACTTATCCTGCTCCTTGGCCTCCCGCATGCGCTTGCCCCAGTGCTCCGTCGTCGCATGCAACCTCGCTTAAGCACCCTGCAGGTTGCGCAAGGACCTGGACAGCCACCTCCCCCATATTGCTTGCCCCGCTGCCCTTGGTAGGTTGCCCCCTCCAACTGTGAGGGGGTTGACCCTCCACGTCGGGATCTCTGAACGCCTGGCGTGCGGGTCCGTCTCGTCCCGCGCCATGCCCCTGATCGCGAAAGCCTCCTGCTCGAGCTTGCGCATGTACCTGGTCCACTCCCTGTCCGCATCCTCCTGCGTGTTGAACGGCCCAACCTGCTGGTAGCTCGGTGGCTCTGGCGCACGACCGATCTGCTACTCTGGCATGGGCTTTGGCCTCTCCAAGACCCGTGTTCGTCGCTCCACCACCTTCAGCTTGATAGTGATGCCTGCGGGCTTGTGTGGCGCAGATGGCCACTCCTCTGCGCCTTCATCGAGTCGGACGCTATGAAGTAGTCGATCTCGCTGTTGCCGTGAGCGTGCCCGCGCGCTCCGCATGCCGCATTCGGCGCTACGACGCACGCCTTAGCAATCTTCAGCGACTCCACCTCCGCAGTAACCTCTGGCTCCACCTGGAAGTCGCCGCCCATGATCCACGGCGCCCCCAAGGTCTCCAGCTGCCCCACGACGTGCAACACCAACTCCCTGTTGCGATACGACATGCCCTCTGCCGTCCACAAGTATATTGATGCTATGACCAACCACGCCTTTGCCTACCGATGCCCAAGCCGCTGCTGCTCGGCCTGGACTTCCCTTCGGCGATCTGTCCCACTTGTCCTGGCCCCGCATGCAGGTCATCCCTGCGCGCCTCGGTGCAGCCACTGCTACTCCAGCTGACGAGCCCGCCTCGCCGGCTGCACCCGTTGACAACACAGTTGCGGCACCGCCCACTTGGTAACCCTGCGCCTTCATCGCTTGCGTCGCCACAGGCCACTTGCCATCCGTGAGGTGATGCTCCTGCACTGCGTGGCACTGCAATACCCCCATCACCTTTTCACTGAGCTTCTCCTTCATCGTGCCCCAGCCCGAACCGCTGAAAGTCCAGACCGTGAGCTTGTCACACTTATTATGGTTGTGCGCGGGGCTAGGAACGCCGCTGCCGCTTGGCTGAGTGCTCGGCCAGGCTGGTGCAGATCTCGATCCACCGCTTCTGTTGTTCCTCACTGGCCCCTTCAGGTGCTCCACCTTGCTTGAGCCACTCTTGTTCATCTTGAGTGAGCTTGGGCCCATCATCCTCTGGTTCGGGTTTGACTCCGCCACCGTTGCTCCTAGCTGCGCCACCGGGGCCGCCGGGCAGAGGATCCATGGGCACGGCCTCTTTCGCGTTGGCCATGACCCTGCCGAGCTGGGCGAACAGCTGCTGGTACTCGACACGGGAGACGCCGCTGCCCTCGACTGCCTTCTCGTACCGCTTCTGCATCGCCTCCAAGAAGCCCTGGGAGGGGTCGCCGACGCCCTGCACCTTGAGCTCCTGCTCGCGCGACTTGGCGAAGCTGAGCTGCTCTTGCTTCTTGGCCAGCCGCTCGCGCGCGTCCGCAAGCTTTCGTTCGCGCTGCTGCACTTCGTCCTGGATGCAGCTGACTTCCTTCTCTGCCTTTTCTTTTGCGATGCGCGCCTGTGTAAGCTGCAAGCTATGCGGCTTGGCATTGACCTTCTCCTGACGCGCCTTCTGGTGCTTCTCTTGAGCATGCTGGTACTCCGTCGACGTCTCCCCCACTCTGCCTTGCAAGCCTGGGCCCACTTGTACAACTTAGAAAGGTCGGTCTTCGGCTCTTCCGCGTTGCTCTCCATGTCGCGGTTGCACCCTTTCTTGAGAGAATCGAGCTCTTCGCGCATGGCGTCCATCTTCTTCTGCATGGCTGTCTCGCGCTTCGAGGGGGCGAGCAAGACCTGCTTGACTGTCGCCGCCTGGCGTGGCGCTGTTGCTCCGCATCCTCGGCATTTCTTCCTCGTCGCATAGTTGTCCACACGTGCAGGACCACATGCTGCTGCCCTGTTGCCACGTGGTGCTCTTCCATCCCGCTGCGGGCGCCATCGCTCGCACGGGCTGGCCGAGTTCCGAGCAGCAAGCTGCTCTGACTGCCGCGGACTAGCGGTATCCTTGTCTCCACAGGGGCAGCGGCCCCCCGAGGAAAGCAACTTGAGCCAAAATGGCTACGGCATTGGCTAATGATTGCCTCCAACATGCCTCCAACATGCCTCCAGGAGGCCCACAGATGACGCCAAGACGGCCCCAAATGGCCTCCAGGCCTCCCACGGCCGCCCCCGAGAGGCCACATTTCTTCAGAACTTCAAAGGGAACTACTGAGTGTTGCCTTATCGCTGTTTCGTTGCCGATGGGTTCCGGAAGCCCCAAGATGACTCCAATATTGCTAACAAGGGCGGCAAGAGAGGCCCAAGATGGCCCCAAGAGCCCCCAACAGCGTCCGACGAGGGCCCCAGGAGGCGACATGGAACGTCCAAGATGGGCCAAGAAGGCTCCAAGATGGCACCAAAGAGCCCAACACAACCTCTAAGATGGCTCAACAGAACCCAAGATGGCTTCCAACATGCTTCAGTAGGTTCCAAGACCGCCTCACGACGACTCCGAGTGGCCACGGAGCCTCCCAAGGAACACCCCGAAAGACCCGAATCCTTCAATAGTCTGAAGGAAGCAAATGTTTTTGACCTTCTCGCCTTTCTGCTTTCGATGCCCTCCAGCGGCCTCAAGATGGCTCCAAGAAGGCCGAAGAAAGCCCAAAGACAGGCTCAACTATCCCCTAGACGGCCCAAAGAGCGCCCAAGAGCGCCCCAAGAAGGCTCCTGGAGGCAATGGGAAAGGTTCCAGAAAAGGCGATGCTAATCCCACCAGCCCTCTTGGCGGAGGTGGCTTAAAGCGTTTCCTCTACCAACCCCATTTTCTCCTTCAGAGAAACGTATCGCCTGTGCCTTTTCACACATCCACACACACATATATATGTAAATATAATTTGTGTATACACACGCACCCTCCCCCACCCGACAGGCGACAAACCCGAGACAATGAGGGCCCCCCCCAACCATCCTCGTCAACAAAGAAAATGCAAGGTACACATTGCGGCAACATCTGGACCGTGCGCGGACGCCCCGCGAGCACTCCGCATAGGATTTTGTCAAGAACGGCGGGGACGCCCTTTTACTATCCGCTCTGTGCAGGCCGACCACCCCTGTCAAAACACAATATCTGGACCGTGCGAGGGCGTCCCATGCTCACGTTGCATTGGTTTTTAACAGGGGCAGCGGCGGTGACCTCAGAGTGTTCGCGCTGCGCAGACCCATCCCTGTCAACACACAGTGCAAAGTACACTGTGTGGCAAAAGCTGGTTCATGCGCGGGAGCCCCGCGACCATTTTGCATTGGGTTTTGACAGAGGCGTCGGCAGGGGGGCGGCCCTGGATTAGACTAGTCTGTGCAGGCTCACGAACCCTGGCGAAACAGTTCATACAACATGCACTTTGCGGCAAAATGAAGATCATGCGGGTGCCCCGCGATCACTTTGCATTGCCTTTTGAACGGGGCGGCGGGGGTACTTACCCTCAGATTATCTGCTCATGAACTTAATGGGATCTGGGACCCGCGCTCACATGCTGTCGATGTGTTTGGAGAGCCTGTGGGAGTGAGCGACATGGCTTGCGGTTTGGGGTAGCTTGGTCACTATCTTTATTGAACTACACTCCCTCCCCCACCCGACCAGCAACAAACCTGGGACACAACATCCCTACCCACAAGAAATTCTTAGTTCACATTGCGGCACAGTCGCTGGCGCCCCGCGATCACTTTGTGTTGGTTTTTGACGGGGGTGCGCTCAAAATGTCGGGCCACTGGCTCGGATGCTGCCTATGTGGTCGAGGTGTTGGAGGGCGGGTGGGATTGAGCGGCACGGCTTGCGGCTTGGGGTAGCTTGCGCGAGCGGTCAGAGCGTCCAAGATGGCTCAATATGTCTCCAAGGCCTCAGAGAGCTGACCTTCAAGATGGAGCAGGATGCATTAAGCTGACTCAAGATGACTTCCAACATGCTCCGAGAGGCCTCAAGACCACCCCAGGATGGCTCCGAGTGGCCACGGAGCCTCCCAAGGAAACCATCAAAAGTCCCAACTCCTTCAAGCACAGAAAGTACGCATGCATGTTATTTATTTTCTCGCGTTCTAGCTTTCGATGACCCTAAGGGCGCCCAAAGGCTTCCACGAGCACTCCAAGATGCGACTTGGGGCCAATCGAGGGGAGGCCCTAATTGAGCACCCCCTCTTCGTTGATCGAATTCTTCCAAGATGGCCCAACCATTGTCCAAATTGGCTGACTATGGCCTCCAACATGCCTCCAAGAGGCTCCAAGATAGCGCCAAAACGGCCCCAAATGGCCTCCGGGCCTCCCAAGGCCACCCCCGAACGACACGACTTCCTCAGCTTTTTGTTATACTGAATGCCCCCCCGCTTCCCTGATTAAGGCAACTCGCCTGGGCATCGTTACTGGATGCGCTGGTGGGAATACGCGAAGCACCAATGTTCATGTAGTCCCGTTCTAAGCATCATACTGCTGTTACGCCTTATATCTGTTCTGATTATTATGACCTTCATGGCTTTGTCTATTGAACTTTAGTTATGACTCTTCTTGTTCGTCTAACCTGGCTAGCTCCTGTACACATCTCTTCCATGTGTTTGCATCGTTTGCTAGCTCGTCTAACTAATCTAGCTCTTCCAGCCCTTTCCATGGGACGCAACTTAGGGTCATCGCCCGAGCTCCACGTACGACTTCGCAACTTCTCCACTCACCTCGCACCTCGGAATTGTTAAGCCCATCTCCACTGGGGGCGCCCTCATGGACTCGTTGGTTCGTGCAATCTGCATGTTGGTATGGATCCACCGTAACTCCATCGACTAAATACTATGTCAATCCCCCCTTGCATCCAGACCCGTAAAAAAACGAAGCAGAGCGATCCTTCAACTCGTGAGTGCACGTATGGATTCTGGTCGGTGCGCACACACAGGTCAACCTGTACGCACATGTGTTGATACATGTGTGTATGTTTCTGTATGTGTTGCCCACATAACATATGCAACACACTCGGTTTTATGTCCACACGTCCGCACACACATATGTATGCACATATATATACCCATCGGTCGGAAGAAGTAGGTAGAAACATGAAGTAGGAAGGCGTTGGAAATAGATTGGGTTTCCGCCCGCCTCCTGAAGAGGAGGGAAGAGGGAAACCCACTCGACTCGTGAAGTAGGAAGGCGCTCAAAGTAGATTGGAATCTGGGAATCCCAAAATACCTACTTTCAACGACCGAGGGGTATATATATATAGATTTGTACTAACGTGTGGGCATACTTTTAGGTACACGGTTGTATGAATGCATCTGTGCACACTATGTAGTTCTGCGACGTATGCAACACGAGTGTCAGTTGCCCCTCACTTCCTGGTCGACATGCCAGTCGAATATGTATGGTGGGCGCGCTCTCGTTTGGCAAATTCGCGTGAGACCTGCAAGTCATCGCTCACATCATTGTCCACGCTGGCGAGGATTCTACCTGTTCTACGACTGAGCGTCTCTGCGTGGCCCGACGGGCATTAGCAGTGGAAAACCGAGCTCGCAAATGGCACCTGGGAAGGCACCCGAGCACCTGCTCCTTTACCGCGGGTGCGCAGAACAAGACAGACGGCCACCACCCGACGCACCACGTACGCGGGCGTGTGCTGCTGCTGCTCCTCCCCCTCTCCTCCCGCTCCCCCTCGGCACTGCCACGAGAGGCACCCCGACGCCTGCCGCGCATGTCAAGCCTCCGTGTCCGCCCGGATCCGTATCAGAGTCAGCGACACGCCAGCGGCGCAGCTGATAGAGGAGCAAATAGTAGCACAAACACAAGCTTTCGGACGTCCGCGCGGATTTCCCGGATCTCCGATGGACCCCCGTCCCAGGCGCGCCAATTCGCGCAAAGGGTGGCGCTGGAGGCACCGCCAGGGGGGCCCAACGCAAATCCACGAAACCCGCCCGGACCTCTGACAATTTCTGCTTCTGCCGCTTTTTGTGCCTCGAGCTGAGGCCAGCCGCCAGCATGAACATCGCCGCGTAGCCAGGGTAATCGTACCCAGGACCTTAATTAATGTGAAAAGCGCTGGTCACGTTTTTTGCTCCGTGATCAACTTTTCGGTTTTCGGTCAACCAGAACAGAGAAACAAAAACGGCAACACCAAACAGAAACACAACTTGTAATACAAAACGTAACCGACTCGAGAACGGCGCTAACCTTCGAAACTTGGAGAAGAAACCAAAACACCCCGAACGTTTCTAACATGATCTAAGCCGGGGACCGTGGTCTTTGCCGCCGCCAGGGGCGTCAACGTCGCCGCGCGCCCCGAAGCACCACAGCAGGCCCCCCGTGAGGCTCCCGCCGGCGATGGCTCCTCGCTCGCCCACGCCTCTCTCACTGCCCCTCCACCTCCAAGGGGGAACGACATTGCGTTCGGAAACTTTTGCTTCGCGTGTCGCCGCGGCGGCCCCGGCGACCTGCTATGCCTTGCAAGCGGATCGCGTAGCGTGTCGCCCCGCTCAGCGGGTCGGGAGGCCGGGAAAGGCTCGGGACGCCAACAACTGGGGACCGGGAAATGGATCGCGTGTCGCGCCGAAGCGTGGTGGGCCAGCACCGGCGGAGCGACACGCTATCCACAAGTTCCCGACCGTGGATCGGGGAGACGTAAGGCCTGGGTCCGGGGGGAGTCGGGTTGGCCTGACGGGGCCGTCAGGACAATGACAAGACCCAACCTGAAATTTAGCGCGAGCTCCCGCTACAAACATCCCACGAACACTGGGCCGTCAAAATTCGAGACGGGCTCGTCAGAAAGCGCCAGCAAACCCGAGTTCCGGCGATATTGAGTCTGAAATTTCCCCGATCTGGCAATATCTGAGGGGGGGCACGAAATTAAAGGAAGAAACGCAGCGTAGTTGAACATAAACTGTCGGGGCTCCGCACAGACTTCTTGGATCGCCGTTGGGCCCGCTTGCGGCGCCTCTGGCGCCGCCACTGGCGTGCTCTGAGAGGCAGGATCGAGGGGAACCGATCCAAGAAATCCGCGCGGAACTCCGACAATTTCTGCAAATGTAGTTGCGGTCTTCGAGTCGAGACACGGGACTGGCTCAGGGGCGGAGCCACTGAGCCAAAATCGGCGGCACAACTCCGATGGATCGGCGCCATCCAGGCCGTCGATCGCGAAACCGTTCCGTCCTTGGCGGGGCTATCAGGCTCCTGTCGGCGGTGAATGGGCGATTGGAGACTGATGCATTCCACCCTGAGCCTACTCCCCCCTATCTTTGCCCATGGGTCTCTCTCCCTCTCTCTTTCCCCCACTTCTCCCCCAAACTCTCCTCCCCAGCCTGTCCCGAGGCCGACGAAGGGGTGGGGGGGTAGCGAAGAACGGTTGGATATTCAACTGCATGCAGCTGTCTTGCCAGCGCCTCCTGGCGCCAGAACCGAACATGCATCGAGGAGCATGCCTAGCGACTGGGACGCAACCAGCCGCATGCAGGTGAGGTCGTGCCCCTAGGTCGGGCATTTTCTCCTACAGGCGGATCTTGGACGAACAATAAAAAATAAAAATATTCTGACATACAAACAAATTGTCTAAACATCGTCCCCATATTATTTTCGGACTATTTTTGAACATTCCACCTGAAGAGGGGCATGCCCGACTTAATCGTACCCTCCGTTGCTCCCCCGATCCCCCCCCCTGTCGCCTGCTCTGGCTTTGGGCTTCGCGGGTCGCAACTCGGGCCTCCGGCGGCTCTCCGGGACGGCCTGGGCACTCCCCGGAGCGCTCTCGGCGAGGCGCGGCTGCTGGAGAACACCCCGACCGAGAGCCGGCGCGCACCTCCCAGGGCCCCGCTCCTGCCCCGCCCCCCTCCCGTCCGCCTCGACGGTCCCTCGGGGCGTTCAGTAGGGCTGGCGTCGCGCAAGTGTCGGGGTGGCGCGATGGAGGGGGGGTGGCCTTTGGTTTGAGCAGGCAGGGAGACTTTTCAGAAGGCAGGGAGGCCTCTCTGGGAGCCCTCCCGGCTTCCAATAGCAGCCTCGTGGGAAGCACCCGAGCGCTTCCGAGATCCTCTTGCAAGTCTCCTGCCCTCGCAGGAGCCCCTCCCAACGTGTTAGAAGGCCGCCCCTCTCGCGCCACCCCCTTGTGGGCACAGAAGAAGCCTGGCCAAGCTGAGCTCGGCCAGGGCCGCCTTCAGCCTGGCCGAACTACGATGGGAGCTCGACCACAAGAAACCTTCCACCAGAAGCCCAACCCTGAGACTACAAGACGTCCACTGATTTTCGGTGTGGGAACGTCACGCTGCCCATAAAGCAAAACCATCGAAATCCAAGACGCCCAGGGCACCTGGAGGCGAGCAAGGTGTTTCTTGGCATGTGTTTCCACTGCAATCGTGCCCCCATGAGGAACGCGCAAGAAGGAACGAAGAGGCTTTTCTGGTCACGGCGGGCCTTGGCAACAAGGGATAGCGGTATGGGTACCTTTCCCTCCGTCGACTCGAGGTCGTGATTTTCACGATTCCGCGCCGTCGGACCTCAGTTTTCTTCGGGGGGGCGCAAGTAGCTCTCCGATGCCGCGGCGCGCACCCGGGGGGGGGGAGGGGGCAGGGCCGGGGCGGGGGGGGGGGGGGGGCGGACCTTCTGGGGGGGGGCGGGCGCGGAAATTCTCCGCCCTTTCCTAGGAAGCTTTGTGGCTGGGGCCCGGGGGGGCACACGATTAAAATAGACGCGAACCCTAGGATTCACCATATTTTCTACATTTTCTAGTCTGCCCCTCCACTTCCAATCTATTTTCTACATTTTCCTCGGATGCGACGATTCATTCTTTGTGTCTGTGTGCTTTTCCCCTCCTGAACCTTTTCCGAAGGCAGAGACGGCCTCTCAAAAGCCAGAGGGCTTCTGAAACGCCCTTCTGGAAAGGCTGCCCTCTCACTTCCCCCCTCGGCGCGCCGCCGACAAATGCCTCCAAACTCAACGTTGCAAAATCAATCAGCATCGAAACGGAAAATCGGGCCATGATCGGAGCATGCCTCGGGTCGATCTGCATCGGCACGGACCGAGGTCGAATCGGATCGGCTGCGCCAAGATCGCCAATATGCAAAATAACGCCCCTTAACCATCGAATCGCATGGGATCGCTGGAACATTGGAATCGAATCGGATCGGGCCAGCCGAAACTGGTACCGAATCTGGTCGATCGGATCAAGATGAGCCTTGCATTGTTGGCGTTTCTTGTTTCACTGTGTGCTTATCTTTTTCCCTTCTCCCGACGGCTCGTCTGGGCATTGTTTCTGAATGGGCTGATGGGGTACGGGAGGCTGAAAGAACTTCCATCCACCTTTTGGAGGTCGGGCGAATGGTGTAAATCTCTCGAATACGAACACAAGCTCGGTGCGTACTGTGTGCTCCCACCGAGATCCCCAGGTATCCGAGGAGGTCTTTGAAGCTCTGGACAGGACACCTTTACAGACAACCTTTAGATGAGGATGGTGATGACGACAATGATGATGATGGTGATGAGTGATGATGCTGATGAGTCTCTCGATGACGACGATGCCAATGATGACGATGAACATGAAAATCAAAATGATGGTGGTGATGCTGGTGATGATAACACTTGTGATGATGCTGATAAATGATGATGACGAAGCTGATGCTGCTGATGATAATGATGCCGCTGCTACTGATACTGATTACGGTTGTGGTTATGTGGTAACGACGACGATGACGATGGCGATGTTGATGATACTGATAACGATGATGGCGATGATGCCGATGATGACTAAGGCGACGACGATGATGATGGAAAAGATGAACACGACTGTGGTGCTGATGATGAGGATTACGATGATGAGGATGCTGCTGATGCTGATGACGATGACGGTGATACTGATGATGATGACGATTGCGACGATGATGATGATAATGAAGAGTATACTGCTGTTGATTATGATGATGATGACGATGCTTATGACGATACTGATGGTGCTGCTCATGATGCTGCTGCTGATGATGATGCGGTTGTTGATGCTGATGATGCTGATGACTTGATGGTGATGATGGTGATCATGATACTGTTCATGAGAATGATTCGGCCCAGGATGATCACAGTGAGCATGGTGGTACTAACAACAAAGATTATGGCGATTCTGACGCGGATGCTGATGATATATTATGCTGCTGCTGCTGATGATGATGATGATGCGGTTGTTTGATGCTGCTGACTTGATGGTGATGATGATGATTCATATGCTGTGTATGATGATGATGATGCTGATGATGCTGAGGGTGGTACTAACAATAAAGATGATGGCGACGATGATGCTGCTGCTGATGATGATGATGATGATTCGGCTGTTGATGCTTCTGATGATGATGATGAATATTATGATGATGGTGATGCTGCTACTGCTGATGGGAATGATGATGACCATGATGCTGACAAAGAGGATGACACTAGTCTTACATATACTGGCGATGATGATGCTGATGCTGCTGATGAGATAATGGTGATGCTGCTGCTGATGATGATGGGTCGTGGCGGTTAGGACGATGGTGCTGACCATAACGGGTTGGGTCGGCGGCCGCGGACGGCGCGCGGGGCTCCGATGCAGGCGCACACGCTCGCCAGCCCCAAGAAGCGCGAGGCCTCTCCGCGGCGGGCCGGGCGGCGGCGTCCAGCAGGATCAGCATGAGGGGAGGTGCTGGTCCTCCTCCTCCTCCTCCTCCTCCTCCTCCTCCTGCTGCTGCTCCTGCTGCTCCTGCTGCTCCTGCTGCTCCTCCTGCTCCTGCTGCTCCTGCTGCTCCTGCTCCTCCTCCTCCTCCTCCTCCTCTTCCTCCTCCTCCTCCTCCTTTTTTTGTTTGAAATATTTGTTGAAGATATGGAAGTAGCGATAAGTAGAGCGAATAACGCTGTTTTCAAACATCCTGGACATAGATGCGCTCCCCCTACCCTGGTTTGGTTATCAGCTAAAGCAGTAGAGAGTCAGCACCGAGTAGAATGGAAGTCGTACTGTAGGTCGGTACGTTGGCTGCTCAATCAGGTGATGGAAATCCAAGGTGCCATCGCCAGGAAGCAGCCAGATGATTTGCCCGACCAGGTGCAGGTGCTTGGAGAGCCTCCTGCAGAGTTTCACGAGAATGAGGAGCTGGCCAAGCTGCTCAACAGGACCCGCACCCTCAGTGAGAGCCTCCAGCAGGACATACAGGTTTTAGGCCCAAAGGTTTTTCGGACAACGCCAGGGACATCTTTTCGGAGCTGCACGACCAGGTCAAGAAGTTGTTGGACAAAGGGAAGAGTTCTGAATCTTTGGGAGCGACACAGTCTTGGAAGCAATGGGTTTCAAACAAAATGACCTCTGGAGCTGGGTGGGCCCACCGATGGACCAATAATGTCCAAGCCTGGAAGCCAGCCAAAACTAAGACGGCCCGCGGTGATTTCTCGGGGAGCCCCACGGAGTTGCTCTACTCGGAGGTCAGAAGGCTAACGAAGATCTGGGAGTCGAGTCAGGTCAAGCGTCCGAAAGTCCCTGGATATCCTCAAGCTGCCCTCAGGCTCCCCGGGATCACCCCCAGCATGCTCAAGAGGGCCTTGCGCAAGCTTAGCCACTCCACGGCGGAGACGTGGGACGGCATCCACCCGTGTCACTTCAGGCTGCTGTCGTTCGATCAGCAGAAGGTTTTTTGCAGGCTCCTCATGTGCGTGGAGCGCGTCGGTAGTATGCCCTCTCAGCTTCTTGCAGTGATATCAGCTCTTATCCCTAAACACAAGCCTTCTGGGGACGGCCCATCTTATCGGGGGATAGGGCTCATGCCAGCTGTTTATCGAGTTTGGGGCAGAATTCGACAAGTTGAAGCAAGAAGCTGGGAGCAGAACGATCGGCGAGAGTTTTTGGCCCACCAAGCTGGGCGGTCCATCTTGGAGTTGGTGTACCAACAATATTTGCAGGCAGGGAGCGGAGCAGTTCAAGAAGAGGAGCTGCACACCGCTTCCATCATGTGGGACTTGACCAATTATTACGAACACGTAAACAGAGAGAAACTACACCGACGTGCTCTAGATACTGGTTTCAATGGAGCTCGTTTGGCTACTATTCTAAATCAATATCAAGGTCAGCGTTTGATTACTCTGAATAACCAAACATCGTATGCAAGCTACCCCACCAAAAGGATCCCAACAGACTGCAGTTTCGCGACCTTTCTCGTGCAAATGTATTGCATCGAGGCATTAGATATCTGGACCAGTAATGTTGAAGTATCCCTCCACATGTTCATTGATGACCTCCTCCTCCTCTTCTCCCACAAGTGCAAGAAGACGGTCGCCTCCGAGTTGAAGCGTGCAGCTGCCAGTCTTTTGAGTGCCATCCAGTACGAACTGGAGCGTTTCATTGCCATCAACAAGTCTGCTGTGCTAGCCTCGGCGTTCGTCATACAAGAGCGACTAGCAAAAGCACTAGGGAGATACTCAGGCTCGGTCCCTCATCATGCGGCCAATCTAGGTGTTGTTTTTTCGGGCTGGTCAAAAACGAGGAAGAGGTATTACAAGTTCTAAGCTTCGAGATCGTCATACGCAACTTGAAGATCGACTTTATCGTATAAGAGCTGTAAGAAGAGCTGGATCCAATACCCTCAAGCTGTACAGCACGGGCTTCGGGCAAGCACAATTCTACGGGACGGAAGTGGTAGGCCTAGGTGGTAAAGAACTAAAAGCTGCTCGTAGACTTTATCTACAAATAGCAGGTCCAGGTACAACAACGCGTTCTAGTACGTTGGCTCTGTGCTTACTTGGCGACCCCTGTTGGAGACCAGGTGTTGGCCCCATCATCATTTGATCGCAGCTGGTGTGGCGCGCCATGATAGGTCAGAATTCCCCTGGCCACGGTTTGCCTCAACTTCGAGCGCGAGCTGCGACAGTGCTCGAAGCCCCACCACGGACGTGGCGCGATTGTCGAGGCCCGTTTGGAGCAGCAATCTTAAGTGCACAGAGGTTGGGATGGCAGTTCACCTCGCCCTTCACGTTGGTAGATCAGTACCAGAGGACCCACATATTAACCTCCACCTCCCCCTGCATGCTCCAGACTTGGATGAAGCAGGCCTGGGGCGACCAGCTGCATGTCCAGGCCGCGGCGAAGTTAGGGCTCCAAGGCTCGCTCGACACGTCCACGGCACGGAAGGTTTTACAATACCCAGGGCTCAAACAAACCGAGAAAACCACCCTCCTGGCCTTCCTGACCCAGTGTATTTGGACCCATTCTTGTTTGAGAAAAGCAGGGTACCCAGCGGAAACAGAATGCCAATGTGGACACCCAACTGACGATCTTCATCACAGACTCGTGAGTTGCCCTTGTACAGCGCCCCGCAGAGATTAATGTTATAATGCTGAAGAAGCCCAGGTCCTTATGGGCCCAGGTATATTCCCGAGCCAGGCGGGTTTTCTGGAAGGTTTGGACTGGTCCACGGGAGCTCCCGAGGGCCTTGGCTTGCAGCAGCAGGTCGTCTGGACTAGAGACAATGTTCCCATCTCTGAGGCCCTAGTAGGTAATATGTATCTATGTATATATATATATATATATATATATACTGACGGGTCTTGTTTACAACAGGGCCCCAGGGATTTTCATGTAGCAGGTTATCCAGCCATCGCGCTCGACTCCGAGGGCGAGGTGACGGCTGCAGTATATGGCCCTGTAGGCCGCAACCTCCCCCAAACCTCCCCCTCTGCTGAGCACCTTGCTGTGCTTGCTGCTGTCTCCTCCTCCTCTCCCTATGCCATTAACAAGACAATCACTGATTATCAGGGAGTGATTGATGTGTACAGTGAATTCCACAATAGGAAGCAGAGATACTCTGGAGTTGCTTTGCTGGCCCAAGGCTCGGCCAACTGGCACCGTGGAATCACTCTGGACAAAATAAAGGCTCACCAGAGCCCCGAACGTCTCACCCAGGGCTCGGAAGAGTGGCTGACAGCCACTGGAAACGATTTCGCCGATAAGTTTGCTAAGCTAGGAGCTCAGATGTTGCAGCGTCCCTCGACCAATGAGATTGAGGGAGCCACCGGGGACAGATCCCTGCTGGCCAAGTGGCTGCGCTACGTTGCTCGAGCTTTAAGTTTGTGGGAGCCAGTTGGACCTAAAGTCAGCAAGAAAGCGTTTTCTTCTCGGGACAAGACGGTTGCTCAGCCCATTGCGGCGGGAGCAGCCAGTGCTCGGGTGGTTTGGACTGGCGGGGCCCCTCCTCCGCCAGCTCCTGTGGCCCCGCGGCCCCAAAGTCCTGGCCACTCTTGGGGGTGGAATAGCAGATCCAACAAGTGGCTGTGCTCGACATGCAAGGCCCGATGCTCTGACAGGATTTATCAGACCCGCAAAGATGAGCCATGCCGGAGCTATCACCTACAGATGTCTCAGATAGCTGAGGACCCCCAGGGCCATACATTTTATGTTGCCCGTCAAAAGAGAAGTTTGAACTTCATCATGATGTGCTCTGGCTGCGGCAAGTACAGTGAATCAAATGTCAAGAAGCTCAAAGAGGGCTGCCATGGTTTCAGGAGGGACGGTGATCGCACCCAGTGGCGACTTTTGTGCGCTGGGAAACACCCAAAGTCCCAAGGACCCATCTATTTTCCAGGGCCCTCCTGTAAGGCTCAGAGATATCGCCGCTGAAGCAGCCAGAGTCGCAGCCTCATCTCAACAGCGAGATGGCAAGCAATAGGGCGGATTGAACTTCCGTCCCCAACCACGTGCTGATCCTCCTCCTCATTTTGCTCCTCCTGCTGCTCCTCCTGCTGCTCCTCCTCCTCCTCCTCCTCTTCCTCCTCCTCCTCCAGCTCTTCCTCCTCCTCCTCCTCCTCCTCCTCCTCCTCCTCCTCCCCC